CCTGAACCCTTCACGGAGATGCAGAGTGGGTTGATGCTTTAACATTTTCCGTGCCAAAAGATGCTTCTTTTTAGTAATTTTGTGCAAATCATATATCATATATCAAGTTTGACAACTAATTGGTAATGACTTTCTTTCTGTCTGGTCTTCTCAAGATATTTATTATTAAATTGCCTTTGGCTTTTCATTAAACGAGACTTATGTGCCGTCGGGTGCTTTCTCACTTCGTCCTCTTACCCGCATCATGACCACACGTCTTTACCTCTCATTGCTGCAAAACGTAACCTTCAGAAGGATGTAATGAAAGCTTTTGAAAACCTTCAAAAGTAGTTTAAAGTTTTGAAGTCGGAAGTATTGGCGGTAGATGCCTTTTAGGGACGGGTTTCGAGAACTTTGGTCTGTACTTTGGATGCTTCCAAAGGAAGAGCTTTTGCACACACTTAATATATGAACGACTGTATCTGATGTGCTCCAAATGGACAACACAAGCTATGTTCTGGAATTAAGGTGATCATCTCGAAGTGTAGGATAATGGGTAGTTTATTTTGAGATAACTAGCGACATAATGTTTTCATTAATTTTGGAGTGGAAGAAACCTACCGCAAATTTATCACCAAGAGCAGTGCATTTTTTCTGCTCAGAGAGATACACGGAATTTTGCAATCATTGAGGCTCCTTTTTTCACAGTTTCCCCCTCTTACAGTTGGCGAGACTTCAGTTAATTTGAATCAGGCACCAACGAATGGAATCGTTTACCTTCATGTCCTTGCTGATATCTCCGACCTTCCGCAGGAACTCCTGATCTACCTGCCCATTTTCACGTCCCTTTTCTCCCAGTGAGTTCTTTTAGTCGCCTTCTTTTGTCGAATCCTCGCTTTCAAATACGACATTTTTTGCCGATACATACCAGACTTGGTGCAGATGGCTTGACTTATCAAGAAATGGATCTGCTCCAAGAGCTCCACACGGGATCCCTCTGTGCCAGCCCTCATGCTGTAGCTAGTATTTCTGCGTCAGAGGCAGAGACGAAGCCTTGTGCTCGGCACGTACACATCTCTACGTATTGTCTCTCCGACAAGGTGTCAAGTATGCTCGAACTGCTATACAAGCGTCTAAGCGCAAGTAATTGGTGCGATCGGGCTCGCATATCCACACTTCTGGCTGCTGATGCTGCAGGTCATTGGTCGGCCAACGCGCTTTCTCATAATGGTAAGTTGCACTTTTTAGTTGGTAACGGACATATTTTGTTTCGGTTTTCTGGTTTTTACACTCCAAGTCAATGTACCGCGGTAGAAGTTTTAAGAACAGTTTGTTTTGTCGTCGGAAACGGATGGACTGCTATTCTATTTTTAAGTAGGTAGCAGTTACTTCATTCCTAAAGCTATTATGAAGTCGGGGCGCACATACTTGGCCTTGTTATTCAACTGAAGAATAACCCGTAAAATAAAGAATCACTTAAAAACGTACCTTTTTTCTAAATAGCTCACTGTTTCGCAATGCGTCGTGCGTCGGCTAATCTTTCCTCCCTCGGTCGAATGTCCGAAGTATGGAGTGGTCTTGAGCAAGCTGCTTTCATGCGCCTCTTGGCGGCTCAGCTAATAACCAGCTCAGATGCAATGGAACGCAATCAGGCTTTTGACGACTTCGTTGCTAAAATGCGCTCGATTGCCGACCACCTCCTCCTACGTCAGACGAGACTTCGGTTTGTTTTTTGTTGGCCCATTCACTCAATCGAACGCCCAATTTCTTAACCCTTTCTACTTCATGTTTGCCTCATCAGGTTCAGTCTTCACGGAGAGGAGGGTAGTTTGGCACCAGCTTGTGGGCAACTGGAAGCTTTTCTTTCAGCATTGCCTTTAAAATCAGATAAAGAGGAAGAAGTA